GGAGGAGGAGGAGGAGGAGGAGGAGAGAGAGAGAGAGAGAGAGGGTGAGCTGGAGGAGGAGGAGGAAGGGGGGGGGGGGGGAGGAAGTGGAGGTGGCAGTGGACAAGGAGGAGGAGGAGAAGCGACCTTGAAGTAAGTCTCTGCATCGGCATATCGATTCATAGTGCACAGCAGGACTCCGTAGCTCATGAGCGCCTGGATATGTCGGGGGTCGAGCATGAGCGCCTCTCGCAGGCACTCCTCCGCCTTCTCAGGCATGCCAGCGCGGATGCAGAAGGTCCCGTAGTCGAACCAGAGGACGGCGTCGGAGGCGTCGGTGATGATGCGCTGGTTGAGGTGGGAGGCAGCAAGGTGGAGATCCTGGTTCATTTCTGCCTCGATCGCCAGCCTCATCTGCTCCCTCAGGTACTTCTTCTTGGCTTCTTCCGAGCGCTCGACGGCTGAGATCTTCTTCGGGGGGCAAGACCTTGTTGAGGTTGCTGTTCATGAGCTCTTGCAGGTAGACGTACAGCTGGGAGATGAACTGGAGCAGGGTGAGAGTAAGAGAGAGGAGAGCGGATCAGATGGAGGAGGAGGAGGAGGAGGAGAGGTAGGAAGGAGGAGGAGGAGAAGGAGGAGGAGGAGGAGGAGGAGGAGAGGTAGGAAGGAGGAAGGGGAGGGGGAGGGGGAGGAAGTAGAGGGATAGGAGGAGGAAAGTGGAGGAAGACGCCATCACCTTCTTTCCTTCCTCCGACGTCGCATCAAGACCTGACTTGTGAAATTTCTCATGAATCAGGCGAACGATGCTCTTCTTCAGTCTCTCCTTGTAGTCATAGTACTTCCCAGATGAGTTCAGATGAAAGATAGCCTGCAGGAAAGTAGCCGGTCAACACCAAGGTGCGACACTGATGATGCAGGATGCATTTCTGTGGGGGAGGAGGAGGGGATGAAGAGAGGGGGTGGGGGGAGAGAGGAGGAGGAGGAGGAATACGTCTTGCCCAACCTGCTGTCGTCTTGCCTCCATCCCTTCCGCTGAGATGTTGGAGCTGACTTCGCCGAGGAACATCTCATGGTACTCGTCCGCCAACTGGTAGATGATCTCCTTGACATCGTCGCCGAACTGATCGGCAGCTGACAGTGGTTTCTCAACCACATCCACGGGAGGCCGGGTAGGGAGCAAGTCCCCGACTTTGGGCAGGACGGGTGGAGGAGGCTTCGGCTTCTCGAAGAGCGGGTTCAGCAGCTCGATCTCCAGCAGGAGGTAGGTCTCAGCGAGCAGGTAAGGATTCGCGTCCTCGTCCTCCTCAGGCTCCCCACCAGGTGGAGGACAGGCCTCGAGCTCCTCCGGGGTCGGCCGCGCGTAATCGTCCGCAGGCTGGACGGCACAGCGGCAGACGACCTTGGTCTCTCCGGGCACCAGCAACTTGTCGCAGTCCACGTAGACAACACCGTGATACTTCTTGGCGTACACGTAGTCCTCCCCACTCCGCAGCTGCCTCCTAAGATCGATGGACAGAGCGTTGCGACTCGAGAGCATCTTGAACGGCAAGGGTCAGACCCCTTCCAAATTCCCTTTCCCCTCACCTTCTTCAGGTTGCTCGTCGCCGATCCACGAATGACTCCCCGGTGCTGGTGATCGAAGACTATACGCGCATCTGTCTTCTCGTTCCTTGCAAACACCTGATCGGCAGATGAGATACTTTCACTGCCAGACAAGCCCGAGAACCCGTTACCCACCTTGGACTCAGTCCGTTGGATTTCAAACGTCTCATCATCTTCCTCCTCTTTCTCCACTTTCTCCCCCCCTTCCTTCGTTTCTTGACCTTGCTCTGCATTTTCAGGCTCTGCAGGCTCGGCGCCTGCCTTGGCGATCGCCCTTCCAGGCTCTGCCTTGAGCTCGAGGATTTGATCCTCCCCTGGCAACGAGTAGAGCAGCGAGTAGATGTAGTCGTGAGCGTCCTCCTGCTTGTCCTCGCTGGGGCCCCACAGCGGCGGCAGCTGGTGCAGGGAATGAAGTTTGACGGAGAGCAGGTTGAGGCTGGGCAGCTCGTCAGGGGGAACGAGCATCTCCGACAGCGCAATCTTGATGAAGACCTGTCAAAGCAAGTCAACTCAACCACGAGCTCCCTGCTCCCCATCACCGCGGCCTCTGCCGGGAAGGAGTCTCCCTCGCCGCCCTCCTCCCCCCGCACGAGGGGATACCATCCTTGGACGAAAGACCCAGGGTGACCGGGGAGGAACTCCTCTTCGTCTGGGTCATCAGGGGTGGGTTCTTGCTTCCATACAAGGTGCTTCAGGGGCACAACGACTTTAGCTGGTGCCGCGAGACCTGAAGAGGCCGTGAGCAGGAGGGGCGAGGAGCAGCTTCATTGCCTTCCACTGTGAACTCGATCGGCTCCGTGATGAGCTTGAAGAGCAGGTAGTCCGACACAGCAGGGACCTTGAACTCAGCTTGGAAATCGTACTTGTGCTCTGTGCCGGGTTGTGGGGATTCGAACTCAGTTGTCGAGCCTGATAACCAGGGAGACTAAGGTAAGAGAAGAGTAGAGGGAAGGACAAGCAAGGGCTCGATACCAGCTACCAGCCCTAAGGTTTCAGATTCCTCCGATTCACCCTCAATGAGCTGAAGGGGGGAAGGCAACAACACCGTCAGGCACAAGCCTATCGCCAACACAAGCACGCTGGACCTCGTCCTTGACGAGCGTGTATCTGAATGAGACCTTGGATGTCGAGTCCTCCGGGAGACCCCGACATGACCTGATGTAGACGTTCAACTTCCTGTAGGAAGAGCTTGTGCCGTCTGCACAACAGGGTCAACAAGTACTGGCATGTTGCTCTTCGTTTCCTGCACACCTTCTGGTGACTCGTTGGGCACGGCCTCTGTCTCGGGGGCTTCACCCTCCCCGGACATCTCAGAGAAGAGATCTGCCGTTACCACGAAGAAGTCAATTCAGGTTCGAAAGTGCATTCCGCGGGGTACAGCGGTATCGAAACCTCTGTATGCTCCTATTTTTCGATTCCATGCTTACTTTCCTGATGCGTATTGGTATCCTCCCTAAAATTCCTAGGTTTGCTGCCTCCTTAACTACCCCACGACATCGTTCACCCTTGATTTGTTCATTGTCAACCTTGCAGTTTGACGTCCTTGACCTTTCCTTCATGGTTTCCCTTATCATTCCTCCACACCTCCTCCATACTACTCATCGTTTCCTCTCTGTCTCTCTGTCTCTGTCTCTCTGTCTCTCTGTCTCTCTGTCTCTCTGTCTCTCTGTCTTTCCGTCTCCTCTCCTCCTCCTTCCTGGCTTCCGCAGTTCCTCTCCTTCGCCTGCATTCAACGATTTCAACGCACACCCCAAACTTTGCAACGAAACTTCGAACAATTAGAGCTAAACTTTGCACTTTCAAACTTTCCGAACTGAGCGGCCGGGCCCCGGCCCTGTGACCGGGCGCGGCCGGGCGCTGCAGCCGCGGCCTCCGAATCACCCTTTACTCAAACTTAATCACAGTAGTATAGTGCGTAGGCCCGGCCGTCGAGTCTCAGAGCGCCGAGGCCAAGTCCGGATCCCTCATCGGGATGACGCCCGGCCATTCAAGACCCGGCCCGGGCAGTGCCACGGTTCAACGGTTGACGCCGGGTTGAGTGAGTGGCCGCTGGCATTGCCGCTGAATCACGGCGGCCGCCAGCTCATATCGTCACAATCAACCTCTTCAAATTTCTCATATGATAATTCATTCCAATTACAAGTAGGATCACGATCACAACTACGCGGCAGCGCCGGATTGCCACGCCCCGGGCCCGCCACCAGGATCATCGATCATCATCGGATTTCGTATCAGTGAGCACCATGATGCAATCATGTTGAAAAATTCCGAGCATCACAGTGTCAAGTTTTCTAACGCGCCAGTTAGATTCTATATCGTTGAAGTTCTTTGGACGTGAATTCCTCGCTGTCTCCATCCTCGTACTGTATCATGTACAGCTTCGCTGCTGCATCGTAAGACACGACCTTCCCAGTGAATTCTTGCATTCTGTTCTTCACAAGGAAGCCTTTGCGGACCTTGGTGCCTATCATAGAGATGATCTTCTCGGGGGTCTTGCTGACCTTAGGCCTTTTGCCTCTCCTCGAAGTCTCAGGCTTCTCAGAGTTCTCCATCTTCATCGACAAGCGCTTTCCTCTCAACGTGCTGGCGATCTCCAGCTCCTCGACAGCTGGGTTCTTGATCTCAGCCTCACGATCGGAGTCGTCCACGTCATCAATGGCGAATTCGTTCCTCTTGTTGATGCTAGAAGGTGACTGCTTCTGCTTGTCTTTGCTCGATTCCGACGATTGCCTTTTCAGCAGCCCGCTGAAACTCTTGCCGGGACTCTTGGAGTTGGAGTACTTCCTTCCTCCGACCCTCTCTCTTACCTTTCCCGTAGAAAGTCCGGGGCTACCATCCTTCACGGAATCTCCAGGGCTCCCAAGGGCAAGCAAGCTCGGAGAAACCGCAGTTGTGTTCTTCACGTTCTCAATAAACTTTTCTTTGACGGTCTTCCTGGATTTCTCCGGAGTCATCTCACGGGCACGGGCTTCAAGAGCGTTCCTCATCACCGCCATAAGAACCTCTTTTCCTTCCCGGTCACCACTCTCCTCAAAGAGCTTGTCGTGAATGCTCCGAAGCAATTCATTTGCCTTCTTCCCCAGAGCTCGCAATGGCATGTTGTACTTGTTTTTGCACTGTAGACACTCTACCACTGATGTCTTCGTGCCCAGATCCGCATTAGTACACAGGCAGCACAACCTTCGCTCACTTCCATTTTCGCTCGAATCCTTGTTTTTGAGTCCACATTTCATTGGATTCTTGGAGCTCGGCTCGACCCGAATGTTGCATTGGGAACAGTCATATTGTGGAAGTGGCTGATTGGACAACTTAGAGCCCATGGTTGTTGCCCTGCAAGAAATAGAATCAATACAGTGCTTGGGACAAAAACCTATCGTACGAAATCCTGCTGTATGAAAATGCACTGCGATTCTTGATGTACACACTCTCCGCTGCGTATCTTAGACATAATCTTGAGAAGTTCTCTGAATTCACTGTCTCAAACTCGACCTTTCCATCCTCCTTAGTGCAACTCTTGTCCAAACAGAAAATCCTCCTCGCCTCTGTTGCTACACCTCATGCTTGTTCCTAGACGCGTTCACACATGCAATCTCTTCTAGTTCTTGTATCTCTGTGGAGAAGGGCATGACGCCTTATAATCTCTTCCTGCCTGCCTTCCTGCCTGCCTTCCTGCCTGCCTTCCTGCCTTCCTGCCTGCCTTCCTGCCTGCCTGCCTGCCTGCCTGCCTGCCTGCCTGCCTGCGTGTCATGCTTCCACTCATTCCCATCCCACATGAATGTGATAGCCTCTCAGATTCAAATCGAAAGAAGCAACTCCAGTCCGCCTCAGAGTGTCACTTGGGATCTGCGGAAGACAGCAAATCCACTCTCTCCGCCAGCCTCGGAAATGGCACCGGCGCCATGGAAGATTCAAGCCCAGGCAATGAGCGAGGATGCGGGGAGACAGGGTTGCAGGAGCATGAGCAGAGTCAGGAACATGAGAATGGGAAGGGTAAAGGGTTTGAGGAGGAGGGGCGTGCCTAGGGCGGGGCGGGGCGGGGCGGGAAGAAGGGAGACAATGTAAGGGAAACGGATGGGAAAGGGCTTGTCTGTCGAGCTTCAAGCACTTGATTCACGTCTGATCAACGCAGCAGAACTTGAGCTGGATCGTTCTCGCGGTTGTGATTTCCTTCCCGATACGGATAATCAGGCAGGCAAACTCGGTGAGCAGCGACGAGCAGGCGGAGGCAAGCTGGACGAGTGATAAGGTGGGGCTCAGGTGGACCTGATCGGGCAGATCATAGCCCTCGGCTGCTCCGTCCTCGTCAACATGATCCTGTGGATCGGGATGGCGCGGGGGGAGCCGAGCTCACGTCACCTTGCAGGTGTGCAACGCAGGTGGTCACCGTCGTCAACTTGTACGAGTACTCCAAGGACCATATGTGACCCTGCCATTGCTGTGCTGCCACGTGGCGCTGAGATGGTGCCTGCGAAGAAACCACTTCGACGTCGAGAAGTCTCTTTCAAGGCTGCTCTTTCCTGAGCAGGTCCTGCAGGCAAGACCGAACGGGCGTCTTCCTTCCCGCGTTTAACGTGTTGAAACAAGATCGTCCTGACCATGCTGCATCTGTGGAACGGGACGTGGACGCATGCGATACTTCAGGTGAACCGACAGGCGAAGAAAGCCTGCTTGCTCTGTTAAAGCAAGTGGCCGGAGGTGTTTCACTGTTTGTCCTCAGCTTCCTCTGGCTCTTTGGCATTGCGCCTGTATTCTCTCTGGACGGCCTCCAATCCATGCTGTGCTAGGGTGCTCCGTTGACGATGCTGATGAAACCGATTGATCTGAAGGTTGCTCACAGCGAGGGGCGAAAGTTTGATGAGCAAGTTCAGAGGATGAAGAAGTTCAACATACTCAAGGTGAATAGCTCGCACTCATCTCTCGTGAAGTCTGATACCGCACTCGCAGGCAGCTCTCTATTGTGCCTCCATGATCTATGGCATCGTCGCCCTCTGTCCGTTGATCATACAGGTGACGTCATCACTTCGAGTTCTTCACTCGCAGACTTTTGCTTGCACCACAGGGGATCATGGGAAGTAACGCGTTCAAGGCCGTCTTGCACGCTCTGAGGAGCAATTACATACCGAATCATTTATCCGGATAACAGGAGACCCTCATTATATAGTCACGGGGGTTCATCGCTGAGAGATTATCATGCAATGTTATCATGCAATTTACTTGGGGGACTCTTTTTTTGACAGAAAACAGTCCCGGGGAAGCTTTTTGATGCAGGATCCTGTGCGTTCGTACACTTCGCAAGTTTGCGTATCGCACAGACCAAACCTCTTTACTTGACCTCCATGGGATTGCCAAGCTCCGATTCCTTTGAGGGCGATCCGAAGAGGACCAGTTGTGTTATGGACGGTACAGCAGAGATTGCAAGACGGAGATTGCCAATATTCAGTGGCGGGATGACAAACCAAGCACCATGTAAATAGACCAAAACTGATTATGTGTCAGGTTTTGTTTAAAATCATAAATTTCCATTCAGTCTTGAAATACAAAATCTCTTCTCTAGTATCCTCTACAGTATGTTCACTAATTACATCGTCTCGTTCCTTGTGGTCTTCGTGACACAAGTTCTGAGCAAAATCCTAAACCTTTACACGAATATACAACAGGTGTTGGCATTCTTGGATGGAAATAACAACGCAGGCAAATCGATCACAAAAGCACGCAAAACTTGCAAATCCATATGATAGCAGTTGGTGGCAGAAGCGTAGTCAGCAACGGGCAAGCAGCAAAAGCGTCTGCACTCCCATGAGAGCCTCCTTGTCTAAGGGAGGCACACCCACTTGCTCGCCCTGGAACAAGAGTCAAACATTGCAAACCAAGACGAGATTCACGAGAGCGAAATTGAAGAGTGTATGCAAGGATGGGAGCATGTACCTTGGTATCTGACGACACAATGTTTTTCAGGGCCAAAGCGATTGGAGGGAGTCTGATATTCTTATCCATTTTGGCAACCTGGACGTCTTCTCGTGGACCATGCCTATTCAGAACTGGATGATTGGCATCGTCCTGCAACTTTGGAGAATTTGGAACAGAATTCGGTCCAGCATTCGGGTTCTAGAGAGAGGTGGCACTTGCGTTAAAAGCCTTCCGGCACAAGAACACATGCAAACCTTGTTCAGAATGTCCATCAGAGATTGAAGCAATGAGTCGGTTTGGTCATTCATCGCTTCGTGACTTTCAGCATGACCCTGCAACCAGTGGGTCAGAAGCGGACTACATTGTTCACCAAAAAGAAGTTTACCTCATGTCGCTGTCGCTTGAAAGCTTTGAATTCTATTTCTATTTCATGGAATTCTTCAGCATTTCTCATGCTGAAAGTCTTGCAGGCCCTATCTAAAACTGTGGCCATCTTCCCAATCCTACATTCAAGATTCTGCATGATAGCATCTCAGTCAGAACTTGTCTCTCCATGTTCGCCAATCCACCTCTTGTCGAACTTTGCTTTCAACCATTTGCGAATAAATCCTCTTATTTTCTTCTTCTTTTTCCATGAATACTGCTTCCAATTTCTTATGCTTCGATCTTTGGAAAATGTGAGACACAAAAACTTTCGATTGTAGCAGCAATCAAACCTGAGATCATGGATGTCGTTGAAAAGTTTATCAACAGCGGTTCTATCGAAGTCATTTTTCGAGCGTCCAAGTACTTCCTTCTCAGAAGCATTGTTTGTGGCAATCTTTCTTCGAATATCTTTGAAAAGGTGCTCGTTTCCTTGCCTGCGCAAGCGATGCAGTGCTAAAGTCAGATCACGTGTGGAGTTCAGCATTGCTTGTACTTGAACATGGGATGAGCAAACTCGCAGACATCAGGCTCCTGAGATGTCTTGTGAAATCCATACAGGTTCAATTGTCGCACAAAGGATGCAAAGTTGCTGTGTTTGAAGTACCTGTTCAACAATCAGACATTCCAGAAATTTTGCTAACACTGCACAACGCACACGAAATACCTTGGCAAAATCTGGGTAGCAAAGCTCGAAGGATCAACAATAAGCAGCGCCTCGCCATTGGGGGACCAAGTCACGAAGGGTGCTGCCGATTGATCTTGAAGCATCAATGCTAGTTTGCCGATGAAGGAGGGGACATTCTGTCTGTTTTCCTCCATACTATGTACGGAATGGAGACTGGTCGAAGAGAAATACTGTGTCGGTAAGATATTGTATAGAAATACTGTGTCGGTAAGATATTGTACCAATCAGAGTCTATTCACAGAGCAAAACACTTCCTTCACGGCTTCAAGGCTTCCCGGTCATATCTCATGTTGTATGTTGCTGATGAGCAAAAAGATTTGATGAGGCAGGTAATTGTGTTGCACGTATACACCTGTTGGATATGCAGTGCTGTGTGTTATATTCTTTTTCCAGGATACGAAGGTGTCTGTCTGAATATAGGGCAAGATAAGGCACGTTTGACAAGCTAAACTGATCACGAGCGAAGGCTAGGAGGGCAATTGCAGAAAGCGGCTTCTCCTCGGAGCGTTGTAGAGATACTGGGAGATGTTTGCAAGTATGCTAGAAAAACAAGGAACAAAAAGCAAGATGGCTGAGCACGAGGGCGGGAGGAAGGGCGGGAGGAAGGGCGGATCCTGGCAATGGCGGCTGTCAGAGACTCGAGGTGGTGGGGAAAACGGTTGAAGGAGACAGAAAACTGTTGCACGTCGAGGAGGGAACGAAGGAAAGCGAGAAGGACGGGGTTGGTGCAAAGGAACAAGACAGCAAGGTTGAAGGGCAGGGTAAGGACTTGGGAGGACGGGGGAGGTTGGGGGAGGCAACGGGGCGGGCGAGGAGGAAACGATTCTGGTACTGTCACTTTGTTCGAAAAGAGATAGTTTCAATTCAATTTTATCTTGAAAAGATCTTTTTTCATTTCGAAGCTCAATTATCTTCCTAGGACCCTGCTATGAAGCCTAATACTACTTCCTATCACCGCCCCGATAGGTCACAGTACCCCCAGCCAGGGCTGCAATCAGAAATCCCTGCATTCCTCCCATGATGGACATGTGCCATGGTGGTTGAAGATCTACCACCCTGAACCCATGTGTTGACTAAAAAACATATTACAAATCTTATATATCAAACATCTCAATGATAGTAAATGATGTTATCATGTCATGGAATACTTGTTCTTCGGCACCCCTTCCAGATAAAAAGTATTTCAAGGGACAACCTGCACCCCAATTACCGAAAATTCTTCACCCCCATCATTTCCCACTACCCCACCCGGGCACAACTAGAACACTACCCTACCCCTGCGGAGTAATGCCATTCACCCCTATTTCTAGAGATATCATGATTCCACCCTACCCTCCGTCTTGCCAGTATCACAATGAATTACCCTAGGTGGTCATCACCACCCCTACCCCTACAAAATAGCCGAATCTTGTTCTCTACCCCATGAAACTGTAGTAAACAGTACGGTGGTCTCCTGAATCCCTGCAGCTGTTTGTCTTTCCACCTCTACCCCCTAAAATCAAACTTTATCACCCCCTACCCCAACTTCAAGGTGTAACCCATCATAAAACTTTTATAAAAAAAGAAGGATCCGAAATCAGGGGACTGTTCCACTCGCCTATCACCGCTCACCCAACCCCCACCCACCCCATCTTCCATTTCGCCTTGCGACTTGAATATCACCGGTCATTCAAATAACAAATTTGGGGGGGGGCCGGGTGGGGAGGGTAAGTCAGCCGGTGGCGGGAGATTATGGGAGATTGTGTGGTAAAAACAAGAAAGTTCTAATTGGAGGTGATGCGGAGGCTTCCTTCCTGGAGAAGCCTGAGGGAAGGGGTGAAAGGTCGGCGAGAGTATAAGTGAGGTCTCAGATAAAGAAGAGGAGGTCTGGACCTTTGCTGACTCAGAACAGCCTCGTCCTCAAGTCATGCCATGGCACGGCCCGACGCACGGTCGGTTGATCGAACAGCCGCCGGTCTAAAAGTTGGTCCGGGCCGCCGCACGGCGCCGCCGGCCTAGCCCGGCCGGCCCGGGGCCGCCCGGGCGACCAGTCACTATGGGAACAGACCGAAAAACCGGACTCGGACATCGCGAGATGTGGCCTCCCAGAGCATGGCAGCGAGGAGGTGGGGAGGACGTACAGCTGGAAGGGGAGGCGAGAGGAGAGGAGAATGGAAGGGGAGGCGAGATGAGAGGAGAACAAGGAGTACGGTCGAAAGATAAAGGGTGCATTGTAGCGCGCATCAGATATCAAAGAAGGGAAGGGTGAGAGGATTCTCGAAGAAGGGCAAGAATGGCGAAGATGTTTGGAAAGTTTAGATAACTTTACGAGGAGGCATCCGAGGTTTTAGAAGAGGAATTCTCGACCATTGAAAGACGTCATAAGTGATGAAAATAATGTATGAGATTCTCGATATGTATGAGATTCTCGATATGAGTACGAGGCCCACAGCTAGGGAAACTGATGGTTTCATTCCAGGCTTCAGATGTCAAGATTTGGCGGAAATCATGGAATTCTCCTTGTCATCGTCCTTGGTCTGTACGTTTCCAGCGCTGTCACTCAAGATACAAAGGTTTGTTTTGATTAACTTGGCCGTGTTCACACTTGTTGATTCGCTTCCCTGTGCAGATGAAATTGCGAGATGCGTTTGACCAACTTGAAGACACAATGAGAGAAGCGAGCAATGAGACGGAAGAGATTGCGACGGAGTTCGAAGAATTGCAAAAGCAGCTGGACCAGAGCCCAAAAACAGGCACGCCCGATACAACAATCCAGTTTGACTCAGACACGGCGCAAGCTGCAGCTGATCTGCTGAACATGGATGTGCAAGACCTGATGGGCGATGGACAGGAGCTCTTCGAGAGGTTGAAAGAGATTAATGCAAAGCTGGAGAGTGCAGGAGTCAAAGCATTCGGTGATCTTGATGAGGAGGGATCGGAGAAGACTTGGAAGGCCGAAGATGGAAGCTGGTCAATCGATCAGTTGAAAGCCGATCTTCAGGCGTGCTCCGATGAATTGAGTGCAAGATTGGAAACAAGTCAGAAGGATGCGACAAAGGACGAGGAGCCCAAGGTTCAGTTGAGAGAAAATAAAGGTGAACCCTCATGAATGCCTGGATTGTCGTCTCATGCAGGAATCTGCAGGAACGGAAGCTGTTGAGACGAACAAAGCAGGGGAGGGTGAAACGAATGATGTGTGCGAGCCATGCAAGAAAATAGACGAGGCTCTTGAAGACCTGGAAAAGGAAGGGGAGGAACTTTTCCGGTATTTACCTAGGGATTGATGAGTACCCTGCCCTTTTAACTTGAAGACAGCAAGCTAAAGGAGTTGAATCCGTACGTGGAACGAAAAGTGTACATGAGGGGAGGGAAGTGGAGAATAGATATCTTGAAATACGACATCGAAGCATGTTCACAAGGAGGTATGCGATCCGCAGGTTTGCTGTAGTTGAACTGAATGTGATGTAAGAAAACGAATGCGACGGCGATGTGTGCAGCCTGAAACAAGATTCAGACGATCAAGAGCACAGCGATAGGGAGGTGACAGGTGACGATTTGTTCGAGGAGTTGCTGCAGCTGAATGCTGAGCTGGAAGAGAAAGGGGTGAGACTGACCCAACTCCCTCGGATACCCGTGCTGAGGTTCAAACAGGTCAAAGCTTTCGGAGAGATCGAGAAGGGGAGCTATTTTGCCAATGGGAACTGGAATCTTGAAATCCTTAGAGAAGACCTTGAAATGTGCAGGTGACCTTGTGCTTGTAGATTTCCTACCTTCTCCACCGTACTTACCGTGACCTCCACAGGGAGGAACTGAGATTGCAAGAAGACGAGGCCGACAAGACCAGCAACACTCACGCTCTCAAGCAGGAGTCCAGTGACCGCGTGAAGAAGTTCGCCAAGATCCTGGAGGATTCTGCCGCATCAAAGCAAGAAGAATCTCAACAAGAGAAGCCTATGAAAGTGAAGTTAAGGGAATGAACTCCAGACTTTCAGACCAACAGTGTTGCCGCCGGAACATGGCGACAGGACAGTGCCAGCTGATCCGAGCCTGCCAAGTTGCCGGAGTGGCCTCGGCAATCATTATCGTCGTGGCGCCTGCCGTGCCGCACGGCACCCGGCAGGCAGCAGCATATTGATGATAGTTTCCCGTAAGGGTCTGAGAGTCTGAGTCTGCCTGTCACGCCGGGGACTCTCTCAACCGCAACTCAGTTCTATGCTGATCGTATCCGATCATCGGCGGTTTTGAGTTCCCCGATTAATTTCAGGGCCGATCGGCCGGTTCGAAGCTGCCTGGCTACCACCGTTGATTTACTTCCGATTACGCTGCCCATGCATCGGAATGGCTTCAGCCTCGCAGCGATTGGCTCACAGTCAGGGCCTAAATCGGACGGTACAGGACGGGCCACCGCTGTAAGAAGCCCTCCAAGTGTACGAGAAGACTTTGAACTTCAATCGGACATCGGCGGCAAGGTCACTGGTCTCTTTACTCAAAGGCACCGGTAGTACGTGACGGTGTACCGGCGTACGGTTGTTGCCAGTATCACATTGGGCTGCGGTACTATATGTGGGGGGAAGAGGGTCCGCAGTGATGTACGGTGCTTCGAGACGGAAAATGGAGGGGTAGGGGTGGGTGTAAAAAGATGAACTATGGATTGTCCTCCTACTGATTTTTAACTTAACTTTGAGTAAAGATGGTAGCATTATCAGGTAGGGTGGGTACAAGGGGCTCTACCAAGAACCATGAAGTGATAGTAAAATATGAGTTACTTTATCTAGTAAAATAAGAGGGTACAAAAAAGTTGAAGTCAAGGGGTCCATAGTACCACCGTGCTCTATACAATGTCTTGGCGTAGTATTTTTGCCCCTTGGTTGCAAAGTAATCCATTTGCAGTATTCCTCTATTAATCTTAAATGCCATTCATTCCTTCTCTCCTCTATTCGTACGCCAACTTGAAATGACGCGGGGAAGCAAATCCCGGCTGCCGGCCGCTCGGCCTCCAGTACGGAGATGTAAAGGGGGTCACTAGTACCCCTAGTTTTATGCCTCTAAAACCACTCATTATCCCCCACGGGTGATACCTCCACCCCCAATTTTAGCGCTTTACAGTTGTTTCCGGGGCAGGTCATTCTGCTTCTGAGGTAGGGGCCAAATTATCACTGATGCATCGACCAGAGTCACGACTGATATCGAAAATCCCCAAATTTTCCGTGGATTTTTCAGAAATTCTAGTCAAGTTTGGGGAGCCGCATCCCAACGTGCATGTAAGAAATATCCCATGCGGCAAATCAAAGGATTTACCTAGGATACCATCCTATACCATCCTTAGAACCTCTCCGTAGGGTATAGGGCAGCGGGATCGCATAAAGATTACCCCTACTTTTTACTGTAAATACCCCACCCCCTCTAGCTTTATATCCCCCCTCCTCTTTCCCGCCCTCAACAAACCCGCGGCTTCCCTGCCGCGAGGAGAGCATCAGTCCTTCTAGACCCTCTCCTCGCTCTCCCTCCCCTTCCCAGCCTCTCTCTCCTTGCTCAAGCAGGGAGTCTCCCCTGGTCTGTGGGTTTTCTTCCCTGGCTCCATGCTCTCTGCAACTCGAGTGCAGCTGGCTGCGGCCTTGGTGGCCGTGGCTGCAGCGTCAGTTTCGGCAGCCACAGGTCACCAGCTTCGGGATCCGGCCTTTGCCTTCCTCCCGCAATATGGACAACCTTCGCTCAGAGCATCTTCAATGACCTGTAAGGGCAAAATCTGCAAGAGTGGCGCTTCTGCGGTGAAGAGAATGAGGCCCCCCCTTCGTTCTCGGTTTGGTCCACTCTCAGGTGTGGTGTTAGATGGTTTGTCCGTGCAAAAACTGACCCGTTTGTTTCGTGTAGGACTGCACATGGTTGCAGTCGATACAACCCAAGAGGGAGCTCTTGCTGGAACGGACAAAATTGCTGAATACGTCAAGGCAAAAGGCGGCAATTACCCAATCAGGAAGATCCTAATCGCAAACAATGGCATGGCAGCAACTAAGTGCATTCTTTCCATTCGTCAGTGGGCTTACATGGAACTTGGCGATGAGAAGGCTATCAAGTTTGTTGCCATGGCAACACCGGAGGATCTCAATGCCAACGCAGAATTTATCAGGCTGGCTGACTCCTTCGTAGAAGTCCCGGGTGGGAGCAACAAGAACAATTATGCGAACGTTGACGTCATCGTCGACATCGCTGTCAGTCAGGGAGTTGATGCAGTCTGGCCTGGCTGGGGACATGCTTCTGAAAATCCTCGCTTGCCAAACACACTTGCCCAGAAGGGAATCAAGTTCATCGGACCGAAGGGTCCTGTTATGTACGCACTCGGTGACAAGATTGCAGCAAACATCCTTGCTCAGACTGCTGGAGTAAGTCCTGAACCATTTCTTGAAGTGAAGTCCTGACCTTTGAAACCAGGTCCCCAGTATCCCTTGGTCAGGATCGTTTGGGGGACCCAACGACGGCCCTCTCGTCGGTGAGCTCGATGACAAGGTAGATGCTACGGCTCCCACTTATGGGCTCAACTCTAACCTCCGTTTCTAGGGCACACTTGATGCGGAGGTCTTTCAGAAGGCCACTGTCAAGACTGTTGATGAAGCCCTGGCTGCAGCCAACAGAATCGGATATCCCGTTATGCTCAAGGCGTCAGAGGGTGGCGGTGGAAAGGGTATTCGTATGTCTGCTAACGATGAAGAGCTCCGCTCCAACTTCGTCCAGGTTCAGAATGAGGTTCCAGGATCTCCAATGTTCATGATGCAACTGTGCAAGAATGCCCGTCACTTGGAAGTCCAGATTGTGGGAGACGAGCATGGAAACGCTGTTGCTCTGAATGGCCGCGATTGCTCAACCCAAAGGCGCTTCCAGAAAATTTTCGAGGAGGGCCCACCAACCATTGCAAAAGCTAATACCTTTCGTGAAATGGAGAAGGCTGCAATGCGCTTGACTCAATCCATTGGTTACAACGGTGCGGGAACGGTCGAGTACTTGTACAACGCCGAATCCGACAAGTTCTTCTTCTTGGAGTTGAACCCTCGTCTTCAGGTAGAGCATCCTGTCACTGAGGGGATCACTGGAGTCAATCTTCCTGCCACTCAGCTTCAGGTAGCTATGGGAATCCCATTGTACCGTATGCCCCAGGTTCGTCGTTTCTTCGGAAAGAAATCTGATGGAACCGAAGCCATCGATTTTCAGAACGAGGAATACACACCCATCACCAAGCACGTTATTGCTGCTCGTATCACTGCCGAGAACCCTGATGAAGGCTTCAAGCCAACCTCTGGAAGGATTGATCGAGTCAAGTTCCAATCCAGCGAGAAAGTTTGGGGATATTTTTCTGTTGGAAACAACGGTGGTATCCATGAATATGCTGATTCTCAGTTTGGTCATCTTTTTGCAAGCGGAGACAACCGTGAAGCAGCTCGCAAATCTTTGGTCTTGGCGTTGAAAGAGATTGATGTCAGGGGAGAAATTCGCAATCCAGTTGAGTACTTGACCAAGCTTCTTGAAACTGATGACTTTAAGTCAAACAAGATTGATACTTCCTGGTTGGACGGAATCATCAAGAACAAGTCTGTAACAACTAAGGCTGACACTGCTACCGTTGTGCTGGGAGCTGCAATCTATCGTGCTCATCAGTACGTCAAGAAGGAGTTCGTTAGTTTTGAGGAGAGTTTGAAGAAAGGGCAAACAAGTGTCAGTGACATTTCCAGCATCAACTCGTTCTCAACCGAAATTACCTATCAAGGTGTGAAGTATCCTTTCAAGGTCAACCGTGCTAGTCCAGACAGGTTCAGCTTGACGTTGCCCAGCGGAGACACTACGAACATCAAATTCCGTGAACAAGCAGACGGCAGCCTTCTTTGCTCTTTTGGTGGAGTTGTGCGCAAGGTTTATGGTCAAGAGGAGCCTCTTGGACTTCGCATGGTCATTGATGGCTCTACAATCATGATCCCCAACGTCTTTGATCCATCGGAACTTCGCTCAGACGTGACTGGCAAGGTCGTCCGTTACCTTCACGAAGACGGTGCTGCAGTGGAAGCTGGAGTACCCTATGTGGAATGTGAAGCTATGAAGATGATCATGCAACTCAGAACAACCGAAGCAGGCAACATCAAGCACGAACTGCAGGCTGGTTCCATCATCTCAGCAGGCGACTTGATTGCATCCCTCGACCTCAAAGACCCCTCCAAGGTTGCTAAGATTGAACTCTTTGAGGGTGACTTGAACGTGGAATCTGGCCCTAGCGATCAGTCCCCAATGCACCTTCTTGAACTTATTCTCGCTGGATATCCCGGTGAGGTTGAAACCCAGCTTTCAAAGGCTCTCCTGGATGTCGATGCTGACACTGCAAATGAACGTGTTGTAAGCCTGTTGCAGAGGTATCTTGCTGTTGAAGACCTCTTCAAAGGAAAACCACTTGATCTCGCGGTGCTTGATCTGATCAACTCAAACAAGGATAACACCCGCCCAGTGATTGATGCGGTGCAAGCTCACAGCGCTCTGAAGAGCAGGAATACCCTTGTTCTGGCAATCTTGAGAAACATGGCTGGATTTGTTGACCGATTCCCAGGATACAAAGTCAGCGATGGGGTCAACACCGTCTTGGAGCGATTGGCAGCTTTGACCGGCACTGAATATGGTGAAGTGGCTCTTACAGCCTCAGCCATTCTCAACGAGTTCAAGGTGCCAGACTTCAATGCCAGGATTGAGGAGCTCAAGACTTTGATCATGTCTGATTCTCCAGATGTTGTCAGCAAGTCCCGCAAGCTTTCCTTGGCCGTCGATTTCTTGACGCAGCTCTTTGACCATCCTGAGGAGGCTGTGAGGAAGGCTGCTCTCGAAGTCTATGTTCGTCGTACCTACCGTGCTCATGTCATCCAGGATGTCAAAATTTCTGACAAGAATGGAGTTTCTACGATCAAATGGAAATTCACCCTTCAGGACCTTCCTGCCAGTGAGGCTCCTATTCGTCATGGCATGCTCATGGTCTTGCAGTCGGCCAAGGACGTTCCTGCTGCGCTACCAGCTGCTCTCCAAGAGTTCAAGGACAACGGTGCAACTGCTAGCCCCTCGGAGGCGCTGAACACTTTTCACATTGCCTTCAAGGCCAATGAAGTCATCACCAACGATGATCAATTCATCGCTGAGGCTGAGCGTGTGCTAAGAGAGAACAAGTCCACTTTCCGTGCACTGGGTGTTCGCCATGTGAACTACATTGTGCCTCAGATCCCCAAGGCTCCAAGATACTTCACTTTCTTGGAGTGCCATGACTTCTCCGAGGAGCCTTTGAGAAGAGACATGCGTGCTTCATTCCCTTACATCCTTGAGTTGACTCGCTTGCAAGGAAACTATGACCTCACTCGCATCCCTGCTCTTGGCAGGAATGCTCAGCTTTGGATTGGAACTGAGAAACCCGATGACAACGTCGTCGTGACTCGTCCTCGTCCTCAGACCATCTTTCTCCGCGCCTTGTCTCACAGTGTAGACACAGACACCAACTCTGGAGCTGAGAGATTGATGCTGGCTGCCATGGACGAGTTGGACCGTGCCCTCCTTCACCCGCTCGTCACCGGTCAACAGAGAATGAAGACTCCCTACCCTGTGCAGTATGGAGCAGCTTCAACTCGCATCTTCCTCCACGTCTTGAACGAATACGAGGCTGACACCCAATCCGTTATCAAGGGCTTCAAGAGCATCTTGGACAATCTGCTGGCCAAGCACTCGACCCGTCTCCTTCAGTTGAGAGTTGATGAGATCGAAGTGAAGGCAAGGATCAGCTACGTCGTCGATGGACGCAAGCACATCCAACCGATCAGACTTGTTGCTTCGTCTACTTCGGGTGACTGGCTCAAGACGGACGCATACCTTGAGTATCCTGATCCCGTTACTGGAGTTACGAAGCAGTTCCGCTCTCTGGAGGAAGCCCAAGCTGGAGTTATGCAGATCTCTCCCTACCCAACTTCTAATACCGTCCAGATGAAGCGTGCTACTGCTAGAAGAGTCGGTTCTACCTACGCGTTCGACTTCTTGGGTCTCTTTGAAGTCGGACTTATCCAACAATGGGGCAAGAGGCCCGATCTTCAGATGCCTCCGTCCGGCAGCTTGTTCGAGGCCAAAGAGCTTGTTCTTGGAGCTGATGGTGAGCTCCAGCAACAGGTTCGTCCTGTTGGATCCAACAAGATTGGAATGCTCGCATGGGTTTGCAAGATGAAGACGCCCGAATATCCCAACGGCAGAGAGGTGGTGCTCATTGCTAACGACGTCACTGTTCAGAGTGGATCATTTGGAGTGGAAGAAGATCAGTTCTACTTTAAAGCATCCGAGTACGCGCGCAAGCGAGGTCTTCCAAGGCTCTACATCGCTTGCAACTCAGGAGCTAGGATCGGATTGGTAGAGGAGCTCAAGCCCAAGTTCAAGGTTGCATGGAATGATGACAAGGACACAACCAAGGGCTTCAAGTACCTCTATCTCACCGAAGATGACTACAAGGCCCTGCCCGAGGGAACTGTCCAGGCTACCAAGACTTCCGGACCTTCTGGCGAGGTGAGGTATGCCCTTGATACCATCGTGGGCACCAACCACGGCATTGGTGTCGAGAACTTGAGAGGATCTGGCATGATTGCTGGAGAAACCAGCCGAGCCTACGACGAGACTTTCACCCTCAGCTATGTCACTGGCAGGTCTGTTGGAATCGGCGCATACATCGTTCGCCTTGGACAGCGTATCATTCAAATGGTTGATGGTCCAATGATCTTGACCGGCTACAGTGCGTTGAACAAGCTCCTCGGAAAGGATGTGTACACCTCCCAGGATCAGCTTGGTGGACCACAGGTCATGTTTCCCAACGGAGTGACGCATCAGGTTGTCGGAAACGATCAGGAAGGTGTCAAGGCTATGCTGGATTGGTTGTCCTTCGTGCCAGAGACCAAGTTCTCTGTTCCTCCTATCCTCCCCGTGTCTGATCCAGTTGAGCGAGAGATCGAATTCGTTCCTACCAAGACTCCTTACGATCCCCGACACATGCTTGCCGGCTACAACAAGGCTGATGGAAGCTGGGTGAGCGGATTCTTCGACAAGGACACCTTCAAGGAGTACTTGGCAGGGTGGGGCAAGTCAGTGGTGACTGGCCGTGCTCGTCTTGGAGGCATCCCAATGGGAGTGATCGCTGTTGAGACAAGATTGGTCGATCGTCGCATCCCCGCAGATCCTGCTAACCCTGAGTCCAGAGAATCCATTGAGCCGCAAGCCGGCCAAGTGTGGTTCCCAGACTCGGCCTACAAGACAGCTCAGGCCATCGAAGACTTCAACAGGGGAGAGAACCTTCCTCTTATCATCTTCGCCAACTGGAGAGGATTCTCCGGTGGTACCAGGGACATGTATAACGAGATCTTGAAGTTCGGATCCATGATCGTCGACGGCCTTCGCACCTACAAGCACCCTGTCTTCGTCTACCTCCCTCCCAACGGTGAACTTCGTGGAGGCGCCTGGGTTGTGGTGGATCCTACCATCAATGAGGAGATGATGGAGATGTATGCTGACGTACAGTCTCGCGGCGGTATCCTCGAGCCTCCTGGCATCTGCGAGGTCAAGTACAGGGCCCCCGACCAGATCAAGACTATGCACAGGTTGGACCCTGAGCTGCAGGAGCTCGACGCTAAGCTGGACAAGGCCACGGCCGAGGAGGCAGCACAGATTAAGGAACAGATCAAGAAGCGCGAGAACACGTTGATGCCGCTCTACTTGCAGATCGCTCACGAGTTTGCGGATCTTCACGATCGTGCCGGACGCATGAAGGCCAAGGGCGTGATCCGTGATGCTCTCTCATGGAAGAAGTCGCGAGAGTACTTCTACTGGCGCGTGCAGCGAAGGCTGGCAGAGATGAAGTTGCGCAAGGCGATGATGCACGCGAACCCACACATGACCTTCTCCGAGGTGACTGCCAAGATGCAGAGCATGGTGACCTGCGACTGGGACGACGACCGTGCCGTCCTCCAGTGGTTCACAGCCGAGCAGGACTCGATCAACAAGACGGTTGCTCATATGCGGGCTGATGGAATCGCTTCTGCTGTCGAGGAGATGCTGGCGAAACTTTCTCCGGATGATCGCGCTAACATCGTGAGCAAGCTGAGATAAATGCAGAGAGATGGTTGAGATTCGATTTAATAAAACGAGTGGAAAGAAACACCTCGGCTGACATTAAACGCATTATGACCGGCTCATGGACTCGGTTTACTTCTTCTTGGGGTGGTAGACGATGTTTCCTCCTCCCTTCTCCTCAACAGTGATGACATCGGGACAGGCCTTGATGAACTCGTTGAGCTTCTTGAACCCGAGCTTCATGTACGTGTCCTTGAGCGGAGTCTTCACCGCCTTCGCCCACTCGTTGGGGAAGTCAGACCCCTTGATGCCGCTCGAGTGACCCGCCAGCACGTTCTTGAGCTTCGTCTTCACGTCCGCTGGGACATCCTACGAAAGAATTAGCCGGGGGCGAGAGGCGCGAGAGGAGCACTAGGATGACGAGCAGAAAGGAGAGGGCTGGGAGGAGGGGGAGGGACGACCTTGCTTCCAGGAGTCTTGGGGGTGCCTGCACTGGCGGCTTCTTTCTTGTTGGCCGGCGTGCTTGGGTTCGTCTTGGCAGGAGTTTTCTGCACGAGGAGGTGAGGGACGTTGGCTGAGACTCAAGTCACCTGCTGCTTGGAAGGCGCTTCCTTGGTCTCTGGGGCATTTCTCTTTTGACCAGCGTTTGACTGCTTCTGCAAGCCAGGTTACAAGACAACACATTGCGGACGGGAACTAACAGGCTTGGGCTTCTCCTCCTCTTCCTCTTCCTCTTCCTCTTCCTCCTCCTCTTCGCCTTCGCCGTCCTGTAAAGCACCACTCAGGATTCTTGATGCTAACCAGCAACATCTCACATCGTCCATTTCCTCATCCTCCTCTCCATCATCGTCCTCGTCCTCGTCGTCCTCATCGTCGTCCTGCACACATCGCTCACAGACAACCCGACAAGCAAGCTGCCTCACCTGACCCTTTCCCATTCCCTTCATGGCAGCCTTCTGAGCAAGGGTCAGAGGATAGGCCGGGAGCAGCAGCCCAGCAGCTTACAGCATCGAAGTCATCGTCCTCATCCTCCTCCTCGTCTGACATGCCTCCCATGCCGTCCATACCCTCCTCATTGTCCATCATGTTGCCAGCCAGGTGAATCTCGTTCTGTCCGCTGGTGATGAACTCGATCTGACCCTCTTCGAACATGAGCTCCATCACGCAGTGCTCCATCTTCTCGGTTATCAAGGACGCGATCACGCACTCCTTTCCTGCTACTTTGACCTGCCAGGAAGAGGAATCAGCAGAGCAGCACACAGACCCTCTCGTCTCACCTTCAACACAGTCTTCCCCTGCTTCACATTCTCCCCGAGAGAGCACTGCGACGTGTCAGAGCCCTCCTCCTCTCCTCCTCCCCTCCTCCCCTCCTCCCGAGAAGCATCGTAATCAGGCACCTGAGTCAGCCTCAAGGTGTGGTTGTCCGGGATCTCCACAGGGAAGGGCTGCAACAAGCATGTGAGACTAGAAGAAAGGTAATAGCAGAAGCTTCACCTTTGACGGTTTTATGCACGCAGACCAGAATTTCATCTTGACTGACAAGGACTGGCAGCGTTTAGGTCAGTCAATCGAAGGAGAGGGAGGAAGGGAGGGAGGAAAAGGGGGCCTTAAGCTCCAAACCTTCCTCTGCATGTTCTTCTGCCTTGCTCAATCATCTCCTATCGCTCACCTCGCACCCTCTCCACTTCTGCTCCATCTGGCCCCGCAAAAATTCCCGGAGATCCTGTTCTGCCCCATTTTTGACTCTCAAGCTACTTTGCCTTCTTGGACCCCCCCTTCCTCGCCCTTCACTCATGCTCCCTATTCCATCATCCTTCCTTAGTATTCAGATTCTAGACCTTGCTCCTCCTCCTCCTCCTCCTCTCCTCATTTCCACATATCTCGCTCAGTTTTCACCTTCGTCCCAGTCCTCAACTACTTGCGGACTCAAGTCACCCTGACGTCAACTCACTCTAATCCTCTCTCCGCGTCCTTTCTCACCTCCTCCATCCTCTTCTCTCCTCCTTCCTCCTCCTCCCCTCCCTCCCATCGCTGCCATTGCTTCCGCTCCTGCATGATCCGCACGAGCTCAGAAGCTCTACGACCTGCCAGTACCAAACACAGGTATTTAACATATATATATTCTTACAATATTATATGGTTTCGTAAAAGTTTATTGGAAGTGAACCATGGTAGTGTAGAGATGTTAGATTGTACCTATTTATAAAATAATATTTTAGATTTCGGAGAAAATCTGTAGTGAGAATCACAGAATATTCTTCTTGATTACCATATATTTTAAATATATTTTACTTTCTATGTCACTTGAGCTTTTGTACCTCACAAGTCTATTGTAAACTCTGTTGGTGGTACTGTGCAACTTGTACCATAACTAAAACCAATTTAAACCGCTCCTGTCACGTGCAGTGCTCTGGTACTGAAGTAACTAAAATTAAGAGGTCTGGAAAAGATCCGACCGACTACTTTTAAGGCAATCGGGTTAAAACTACTTGAAGGCCGGGCCCTCCTGACAGGCCCGCCTCAGTCGGAGAAGATTCAAATCTTACTCAAATCTGCTCGATTTGAATGTTTGTACCAAGATGCCTCGTCCCACCCGGTCCTTTCCCTGACTCCGTGTGGGGATGGCATGCAGGGGTACTGACCCAGGGATCCGAAGATGGCTGCTGTACCTTCGCAAGACGCCACCTCCTCACTTTACTCTCTCCTCCTCCTCCCTTCTAGCCCCCCCTTGCCCCCCCCCAGCTTCTCTCTCCTCGACAGAGGGGAAGAGGCTGTGGAGGAGACAGCAGGGGAGATTTGGAAGGAGTTTGCAGGAGAGACTGTATGTGAGAAAGGTGAACGTCAGCCTGAGCCTGCAGGCAAGAAGAAGAAACGCAGAAACAGAAAGAAGAATCGAAAGGTCGAGATAGAGTTATCCGGACCAGCGCTCGAAAACCTGCAATATCAGGCGAGCAGAGCGAACTGCTTCTATCCAAAGGGGAGCGAGTGGGAGGGAGAGCCCGACGTTGAAAGGTTCTTGAATGAGGTTGCTCAGGGTCTCCACCAGTTGGATCCGGTTCCGAAGCCAAGTCGTAATTTTGAGGATCTATGGAAGGAGGTGAAGGCGGAGCTACAGCTGCCGTCAGATTGCAACCCCACCAATATTGAAGAGATCGAGGATGAGCGGGCTATGCTGCTCCACATCAAAAAGGCTCAACAGGAATTCATGCCTTATCTAGACATGTTCATACAATCTACTGCATCCTTTTGCGGAGAGGGGAATACCCCAGAAGAGTATTTGGAGTTTTTTGATGAGTTGTTCAGACCACAAAGCATTGGCTACCTTAACCACAACGGTGGGGCAAGCGATGAAGTCGACGAGGAAGCGCATTCCCAGATGGCGATGTACTATGTGATAAGGAGCTCAGGGTTCAGAAAAAGGGTTCGAGAGATGTGTCTGGCAGGATTGATATAGACGGCTCAGCAGTTCCAAGGCACCTCGGGCAGTTGCAACCCACAAAGCTGGGATGAGGAATGAGGAGCTGGAGCGTGACGGCCGGGCTGTACTTCACTGTGGGCAGCCATCATGATATGGCCATGGATGCAGTAGCCTGTAGTGCAATAAATGACGCTAAAAGTTGCAACTTGAGACGAAGTCTCGTTGATTTGTTTCAAGTTCAACCCTACAGAGACTCGGATGATGAGTCACTGTCACGACTGTGCAGCTGAGGGAAAGAGAGCTTCAAGCTCCTTCTTAACCCTCTTCACTTGGAGGGCTTCAGTCCCAGACCTCCGTCCTCGATGCTGCACCTGAGATCATCGTCGTCAAGCGACAGGAAGGTCTTGCCGTCCACCCCGTTGCTCTCGATCGCAAGTGCAGCCTCCATGAAGGAGCACTTGCGGAAGATGGCGCTGACCTCCTGGACCGTCAGCTGCTCGACGCTGCCCGTAGCTGGACGTCTGTTCGTCTCGCTCCTCTGCCTCGCTATCTCAGCAAACGCTGCCGCAAGCTCATCGTGAAACTCCTTGGCATCAGCCTGACGGTCCTCTTGCTTCTTCTCTAGCGCCTTTCGCACCACCAGCTGGAAGGGAGCAGGGGCAGCATCTGCTGGCAGCTCGGGGACAGGCTTGCTGAGGATCGCGGTGAAGATCCTCGACTCGTCTGCCTTGGTCAGGCGCTGCTTGGAGAAGGAGCGCGACCTCTGGCCGTCCTCACCCAGCGAAGGAGGTTGGAAGGGAGTGTTGCCGGCGACGATCTCGTAGCAGATGATACCCATGGCCCACACGTCGCTCCGCAGGTCGACGGCGCTCGTGATGCCCTCAAGCTGCTCGGGACTCATGTACATGGCGGTGCCGATGACGCTCTTGGCGGAGGTGACGGTCATGTTGGCGTTGAGCTCCTTGGAGAGCCCGAAGTCGACGATGACGATGTTGCCGGTGACATCATCGATCATCAGGTTGCTGGGCTTCAGGTCTCTGTGCGCGATCTTGTGGCTGTGGACGGCGGACATGCCGTCAGCAAACTGCAACATGATCGTCTTGGCGTCTTGGAGGGAGACGATCCCCTTGTGCTGCAGCCAGAGGTCAAGCGACACGCCTTGCACCAGCTCCATCAGGATGATGAGCCGCTTGTCGAGATAGCTGCTGCCCAAGAAGCGAACGATGTTGGGATGCTTGACAGACACAAGCTTCTCCAGGATGACGGCTTCACGGTCCTTGCGACTTTCGTTGGAGTTGTTGCAGATCTTGAGAGCATACTTGTCATCTGATCCCTCCTTGCTCGCCACGTAGACTGTTCCCATCCCGCCGGATCCTGCAGTCGACAGGACCATGTACGATTCATTGTTGCTCAACGTGATACGTTGCGGCAGGTTACGAAGATTTCTGATCGCTGCTCGACCGCTCAGGCACTCTTGCACGATATTAGCGACCTGCGACTTGGTGACTGCTTTGTCGGCCTTGATCTTGACATCTTGAATCTGATCCGCCACCTCTCTCACTTGAGTTTGGACCGCCTCCAAGGAAGACAGCAGCTCGTCGACCGTGGAGTCAGAGAGCTTCTCGTCAGCGATGCGTTGAATCTGTTGAGTCAAGGTTTGCTTGTGGTGCTTGACGAACAGACCTGCAAGAGTCTCTAGCGACGACTTGACGCAGGTCCATCGCTGCTTGTAGTCTTCATCTTCGAGCTCCTGCAGGTGAAGGATGGAGGAATGCGCCAGCTCGTTTCGCTCCTTGCGTAAACCCTCAACGGCTGCAACACCCTCCTTCTCCTTGATGTAGCCAGGATTGAAAATGAGCAGCGAGGACAAGAGGGTCATATCCCAGCTGTCGATGGCTCCACTTCTCAGCTTGTTCATCATCGTCTTCCCGAGCTTACGCTGAGAATAATCATCCATCCGCTTCGCCATCTCCATGCCGGCTCCCTCGCTCCAGCTGGTCTTGCTTGTGCTGGTGTAGCAGGCCTGAACAACTTGCGCGAGGAGGTCTCGTCCTGACCCCAGCAAGAGCTTGCAGAAGCGTTTGAAGTTGTCTTTCTTGCCGCTCGTCTCAGGCTTAGCTTGCAGTGGAACAGCCTGACAGACGCTTTCGTTTTGCTCGCTCGACATCTCGATTGTAGCTCCACCTCGCCCTTCTTGGCGTCTTTGGCAATCTTTGACTTGGCTAGACGCAACAATCACGCGGACTCGCTCTCCTTCTGCAAGGATCGGACGGAAACTATTCTCAATGTTACATCTGTCAATGCTCACCTTGCTGCCTTGACCGTTGACGTGAACAGCGTTCACATTGCACAACTTGATAGATGAATGTTTGATCTCGGTGTTGCTTTGATTCAGAATCAAACCACATCCGCACTTGAGAATTGAGCATCCATCAACCGACCCATCGACTCCGGTGCATTCGATGGCAGCAACATCGCAGGACTCGATCGTCGTGTTCTTGATCATAAACTTCTTCTGCATGTTGTTCAAGACGAGACCATGTCGCTTGCAAGGTCCAATCTTGCAGTCAAGTATCTCCAAGTGCTCCACCTTGTTGTTCCTTCGGACGCTGACTGCAGTTCCCCTGGTGCAAGTTAAGCTCACGCCAGTCATCTTCAAAGAGCCGGAAGACAACAAAATGGCGCCGATGCGATCATGTTCTGACTGGTCGATGAGCTCACAGGTCATAGACAAGTTGAGACAGCTCAGCTCTACTCCTTCTGCAGCTACTCTGATCGCGTTCGCCTCATTGCAGTAAATGGAACATTTGGTATCAGGGGCCTCTCCGGTGATTATGCAAGCATGATCGATTGTGACAGTGCTTCTAAAGACTTCTGTGTAGGAGGTTTGCTTGACGACGATCTTGTCTTCCTCTCTCAAGCTTCGAATCCCCAGCATGAAACTGGCAAACTCAACCCTCGTCTCCCTGGACTGCTTCGCTTTCTTAACTAGCTGAGCGAGCTTGACTTTCCGATCCCCACCTTCAATGAGAACGGGAGTGCCTGAGGGACCTGTTGGTCCGACAACCTGACCCCTCACCCACTTGTTGGTCACTTTGTCCAGCACCTCAACAGTCTTGGAGATCAGCACACAGGAAGGGGTGAAAGGAGGAGGAGAAGGACGCAGATTGATCTTGATCACACTTTCAGACCAACAGCAGACCACGGGGTAGAGGTCGCAACTTGCATCATGATCCTCCACCCAAGGAACTCTCGCAGCCTCTGTGCCGTTGACCGTGAAGAAGACTGTCTTCGACCCGTCGTCACTGAAATGAATCCCACATCCCATTCTCTCTCCTGCCGACAGCCACTTGAACAATCCCAGGTCTGTCTGCCCGTTGAGGACGCGAAGGAATCCTAGCTCGCTCATCCCTACGCTCCTACCGGTGTCACCAACAACCTTACCAGCGACATGCGAAGCGTCTGAGACGCCGATGACGATGTTGCCGTAGGTGTTGGCTGGTTGCCGAGTGACAAGCGTGATCTCAAAATAAGGATGAAGGCGATCGAGCGTCTGTCTCGCCCTCACGTGTCCTACTCTCGTGTGATGCTCATCAGCCACCTTCTCGCCCTGGAAGGAAATGCCTTGAGATGTGAACTTGACAAACTTGGCGTCTGCAAACTGAGCATCTTGAGGAGGACGTTTGAAAGCAGCCAATTCCTGTGCAGTGACAACCTCCAGGTCACCTGTGACTCCTTTCCAAGACGACTGCTCCGGGAAGTCAACGAACACGATCCCATCTTTCAGCTTCGAGACCACCCCGATGCTCCACGAATGCACTTCTCCCCATCCGCTGCTGGGGCTGTCGATGCCAGCTTTGATCTTCACGTAGTCACCCAACTTGATCGACTTGGTATCGACCAACAAGACCATCCCAGACCCGTTGATGTCGCTGTACTGAATCTTGTGACTGTTGTCCGTACAGAAACATTTCACTCCGCCTGCGTTCTCGAGCTCTGCCTTCCACTTTGCATTCTCTTTTGCGAGAACTCCAACCTTTGAAGCATATTCGGACCGCGACGATTGTTGCTTGAGGTAGCGCTCAAGGCGAGCCAAGAACCCTTCTTGCTGCCCTGCTAACGCTTTTCCCGGCACTTCCTTACCTTGAATCTTCTCTTGTCCTTCTTTTTCTTTCGGCTTCGAGTCATCTGTTGATTTCTTGCTTTTCTCCTCTTTTTCTCTCTGCTCGGCTTTCTTCTTGCATTGGCAACATCCGTACTGCCAACTGCATCGTCAAGAGGTCTTGCCATCCTCCCCTTGCGCACCTTGACATAATGGCTCCATCCCGCTATCTTCGCACACTGAAAGAGCCTGTCAGTCTTGAAGCACAGCGAACGAGTGCCGTATGTCTTGGTTCCTCACATTCTGAGTTTACCATACAAACAGATCAGCAAAGCTATCGAATGTCGTGAGAAGATGCTTACGCAGCACTGCAAGAATCAACAGATGCCAACGAGAAGATGCAGGAGGTTTAAACGTTCGTGAGTGATTGCGCATGCATGTATCATGACACTCACTTTCTGTGAGCAAGGATACACGCCGATATGCAATCCCACGTGTCGGAACAAACGATCAAGATCGATTCAGTAACAATCAAATCTTAGGGGAGTGTGTTGTCATTCTTACGTTCTATCGCGACACCACAGCCAATAAGGAAAAATTGTAGAGATAATGTTCAGACACAGGCTGAAAGCAACTTCAAGTCACTTACTCCCTGCATTCGAGAATTGTTAGCAAAATACAAATCATCCTCCAAAACATCATTATGCTACTTACAATCTGTCGAAGTGTTGTACAGATTGAAGTTTATGAGAGCATGTCAGCAAATCATATGTAAAGTGCTACATGGTTGCAACACACTTACCCACTTGAAACAGATTAAGACATCACAAGGAATGCGTCCCCATAATCAGTGGAGGAAGCAGATAAAGAAAAAATTTAGAAACGCGCGATCTGATTGTACCCAGTACTCACTGCCTAATCGTCATGAACACGACCTCAATACCGTGATACAGCACCATGGTCAAAAGCAATGTCAGTCTGTGACCACGTGATGTTTTGAAAGACATCATACACATCTTGCCGAGTCCTTTGTGCAGGGTTCGATGTCGATCTGAGACAAGTGGAGTTAGCTGAATGAAAGGCGCCTAAGATTGAGGGCAGAGGAGAGAAGTGGGTGAGAGAGGAGGGTAACACTCACCCGGGACAGGAGAGGAGAGGAGGGAGAATGGAAGAGGCAGAAGGGCACAGAGGGAAGGTGGAAGGAGGGAGCAGGCAGGAGGAAGGAGGAAGGAGGAAGGAGGAAGGAGGAAGGAGGAAGGAGGAAGTAGAGGAGGGAGGAGGGAGGTATAGGAGCTATCCAATGCTTGCCTTGCAAACTTCGCACTCCCACATGTTTTATTTGCAGGCGGCAACCACGTTGTCATAAATAATTATTATTCCAGGTAGGAAATGTCCTCAGAATTGCTCATGAAAATTTGAATGTTGAAATAAAACATTTCAATTTCATGTACTGAGACTCGAAATATTATTGCAGGTGGGAAACCGTCCAGTCACGCCAGAAGTCCCGCCGGGCGACTCGGCGAACTTCGGAAAGCGGGCGCCCCGGGCCGCCGCCACACGGTGAGGGCCCGGTCGCCCGGGCGGCCCGGGCTCCCCGGGCCCGCCGGCCGCCCGGCCCGGCTGAACCAGTGGGCCGCCCCACCCGGCGCGCGACTGGGCAGGCGCAGTGCCCGGCGCCCCAGGCCCCCGCGGCCACTCAGTGATTTGAAGGGCCCCGGGTCGCCCGGGCTCCCCGGGCCCTCCGACAGTGCCGCACAGCGGCAGTGCCGCACCGTGTGCTCGGGTCTTGCAGGAGCCTTGCCGCTCAGGCTAGTATCATCGGATCGGATTGTGTCCGGCACGTCACGGTCCGATCCGAGGCCGAGCAAGAGGCTGAGGCCCTGAGTGACTTCTCGGTACATTCTGTAGGATTTTGGGCAGGTAGGCATATACGGTATCTTGTAGGGTAGTCCCTGGGAATCGAGGGGTGGTTTAGGGATTTCAGTTATTTGTACCAGGTAATTTGAGACCCTACGAAATTGATTTGAAATATTCACTAGAATAATTTTTATATGTCGATAACAGTACAAAATGAAAAATATTTTATTTTGCTGCCTCCTTGTCCTTTACCCCTTGCTTGATGCTTGGCATAGATGCAAACCATCTGCTGATGTGGACCATTGGATGAGAAGCAGTTGAGAGAGACAATGACACAGGTGAATCAGAAGCCCAACATGCATGTGTGCTGGAAGGCTTGCGACGGATGTGTGATTCGGAAGCTTACATATGTGCTTTGAGTTTTTCAATGAGAGTTTTCCTCC